TTCAATAGCATCTTCAAAGTGCTTGAAAGCTGTCAAAATCGCAATGTCATTAGTTAAGTTATTTTACTCTCGAATGTGGAATAATGCTACAAATTTACCCCGCGAACGACAGGAGCGATTGCAATCTTGAATTGCAAGCGTGTGCTATATCATAAAGGAAGCAATCAATAACCCGTGCTTCCTTAGAAGATTTTCAGTAGTTTTTTTGCTGTATAGAAGCTTAAAACTATTTCTGGGCAAAGAAAGGCTCGGAACAAACGCACCAATGGCTGCAAAATTTCTGATCCTCTGTGTGCAGCTGAAAAGTTATGGCCATAATACTGCCGATTGTGGACTCCTGAGCAGTCGACATTTGTTGAGTAAGGTTGCCTAGCAGAAAGTGAATGAAACATATTGCGAGGGATTACGCAGGGTGCGGGTGACCCGGTGCGAAGCGGTGGCTTTCTATGGCGTGACTTCTGCATCCCGTGCAGTGTCCTGTGAGAAGGAGAGCGAGGACACAGGCTCCTCGACCCAAAGTTAAGGAGTGAGGTCCATAAGTTAGCGGTCGGGTGAACTCAGTCCGCGTAGGTCGGTGGCTTTTTGTTGTCGGGCGGTCCAGGCAGCTTGACAATGTGTGGTCAGCGTGTCTGGTTCCAGACATCGTTGGCAACGGGAATCCGGTGTAATATAGTATGGATTGTTTGTTTGGTGGGGTCTCAAAGCAGCGTATAAAGTAATGGCACTGCTGGTACGTATGCAGCGGAGCAGTGCCATCTGGGCTCGCTTGAAAATGCGGGAGCTGTTCAGGAACCCACGAGTTTGCGATGCGTCGCTTCCAGTCTCCCTTGAGAAGACTGAGCTCTTCGAGTGTAGTCTCCATCTGTGGAGGTTGCAGGCCGGGATGCAGAGGGAGCTTGAGGCTTATTTAAATCTTGTATCGCAGCTTCATGAGCCTTCACATTGCCTGGGATGTCCGCGTGCCCGGGAGCGGATGCACATTTTGATAGCGTGGTTCCGGACTAGGCGCAGTGCCGTCGTGAAGATGTCCGCGATGAGTGGGGCTGGACGTGTGAGGGGGGTTCTTGAGTGCGTGTATTGTGCAAGTCCGTGTAGGTTGTTAGTGCGCCTCCGTGAAGGGGGGCTTCTTTCTTGGCGTGTTCTTCGTGAGTCTGTAGTGTCGGGAGCACAGCACGGGCCTCGGCAAGGTCAGGTGAGGAGGGTGCCGAGTAGACCGCAGCGTGGACTACGGGGTCGGCTTCGTGGCAGGGGACGGCTGCAGCGGTCACGCCGGCGTGATTGAGGGACGTGTCTGTGTAGGCGATTACGTTCGTAGGGTCTAGAAGAAGGGCAGTTAGCTTAGTGTTAACGTGCGTAGTGCTCCTTTCGTTTCTTGTGGGTCCCACGGTGACTTGGGTGGAGGGAGTGCGCTCTGGTTTGTTATCCGACATTAAGGTAGGGGGCGATGGCCCGGTCCTGAGGGGCGTGTCCCAAGCGAGCAAGGTGCACATTTTTCTGTTTCTTTAGAGTGGTTTGTATGTCAACGTGGTGTATGCTATTCTGGAACTCTCCGTTGCGCGTGAAAGCTGCGACATGCCAGCAGCCGAGGAAGCTTAAAGGGGCCCTGCGAGCACTTTTTTACTGGTTTTTAATTTGCACCGAACCTGAGCGCACTGAATGTAATAACTTAATAAAATGTTTCTTTTCTCGAATTTCGTTTTATTTTAAAAGTTATAGGCAAAATTAAAATTACAAAGACAAGCAAAAAATAACCTCCTTCATGACGTCCTTGGTCGCTTGAGTGGCTGTGAACTAGAGGAGGGGTAGTGAGCTCATGCGAGCGCTCACGGCTGCCGCACTCCGTGTCAACGGCGCGATAGGGCACCACTAAAGCATGTTCTGGATAGGCTGTATACAGCGGGTAGCCAGGACGGCTCTCATTGCATTTGCTGCGCGATTAAACACTAATTTGGCATGACACTTCATTGGCCACAAACGGCAGCAAACACGGGGTAAAGATCAGTTCAGAATGGGGACCACTTCGTGCTGCCATACCGCTAAACGGCCAAACCGCAAGACAAAGCTGCTCGCCGAAGGCCTTCGGAACGCTCGGAGCCGGTCGGATCCTCCAATCCGTAAACGACCGCAGCGATGCCGCGTACATCTGGGACCTTTCCATGTCGGCGCCTGATCCCACTACTCCTTTTTAGTATGCGCCGCCTTTTCCACCGCTTGGTGGCGGGTATGTCGACGGGTCATTTCTTTTTTCCGTACTTTATAAACTGCATTTGTTTTTTTTCTGATCTAAAATACTGAACAAAAACTACTTTTATAAATAATTGAAACAGTTCGCGCCACTTATATTTTGTATTTCGACTAAAAAGAAGCTTTTAGCGGCTCTGACCAGTAGTAAGCTCAGGACCAAAGACGTCGCATATCGCGCGCTTTCGGTACCGCGGGTCGCTCCCGCCGGTGGAGGAGGTTTCCGCATCATACGGTTAAAATATGATGCACTGATATTTGGTTACTGTCTCCGTGCCCGCTGGCTTGCCCGAACCCCAAGAGACGTGGAAACCGCAAACAAGGTAGACGTTTAAATATGATTGCAGGGCCCCTTTAACTTTGTGATTGTACCCGAGGCTTGGGTAAAATCACCGTGTTTAAAATTTTCCTGTAGCATCAGCTATCTTGCACCCTCATTTTTGCTTGAGAAAGCTCTTTCTCACCGCTTTCACCAGGGATAAAATCTGACCCAGCTGTATGTGACCAAAGATTGAAATTGAAAGGGCCAGGAAGCACATTACTGGAGATTCCAACGGACTAGTTTGAAGCCGTATTTTTTAGTGGTTCAGGCTTAAAACTGATGTGAAGTTTCTACCCGAAAAGAATCAACAGTTTTCTCCAGCGTAAACTGTTACGAGAATTGATAGATTGCTCACCTTTCGTTACTGCCCGCAGCTGTTCTGTTGCCAGTTTGTGGCATAAACTTCCGTTGTCTGTAAATATTTCTACGACATAATGGAACAGCGCGAATTTTTGTAAGGACAGAGGAAGGAACTGCAAACAGTCAAGTTGTTTGCAGTTATTGAGAGTATAGACTTCGCACTGTGGTGACTGCACTGCCGCGGCATTTGTTTTTGTCTTTAAGATCGGTACTCCTACTACATCCTAGATGGCGACAGCATCAGATTGGACTTGGCGTTCGGGACTGGTTTTCTGCGCAGCACACTGCGAGTGCCACGCATTGTGGGAGAGAATTCTCACGGTGTCAGTGCGTGTGAAATGAACCCGCTATTAGGCACAGTTGTGTAAAAGTGGAATAAGAAAGCAAGTGCCTTTTCCACACTCTAACAAAATGACATTCGCTTCGCAGACTAACCTTATCTAACAATAATATTATCCCACCACTCCACCAATTTGTTTTAATCATGCAGCACAAAATTTGTTTTTGTCTTTCGTCTCGGCGTTGCAGCAAGTCCCAAAGTATTGGTCCCCCTTGTGAGAATTTCTAAACACAGTGACAAAGTGGTTTGCTCGAAATCCTTTTTTTAATATGCAATGCTTTGTATATTTTGAGACCGGTGCAAGGGCAGGGTTTTCCAGTGGTACCCCCAAAGAATCCCAAGAAGTTTGGAATGGCAGCAGGCATTTCGCTAAGAGCCTCGTCAAGGGCCCCGACTGCTTGACTCGACAGGTTCATTATTCATCGACTCGAAAACGGGGTTAAGGCAAGGACAGCTGCACGAAACACCTGCGTGATTGAGACATGCCGTAAACAAACCAGCAGCTGCTTTTTTTCTAGAATTCTCGTTTTTATTTTTGTGTGTTTTTGCGTGTCAGCAACGGGAGTAATCTCGTGGAGGTCTTTCACGATTGGGTTGGAAGCGTGGTATGAGAACAGAGTGGCTCTGTTATACTCTGACGTTGAGTGCAGTGAACTTAGCGTAGCGTGGGCTTTTGATTGGCTGGCGAGCAGGAACTCGATATCTCTGAACAGTCAGTAGCGGTGTCCACTGCGCTACGCCGCATTTGCTGCTTTCGACGTCGTAGTGTAACAGAGCCCCAAGTCTGCTTCCCTTTCTTCGGTTGCTAATGTCCCTACCACCACTGTTTTATTTTTCTTTGAAGTGATAGCTTTAATGAGCTTGTGTCGCAGAAAAACCGGCGTCGGTTGGACGGGAGAATCCTTATTGGGTCAATATGCCTCAAAGAAAAAATTTGAAGAATTTTAGACGGGATTCCAACCGACCGCCCTTCGGTTGGGAGCCAGATGCGCCACCGACTGTTCCACGCAGACACACTTGCACGGCTTGGAAACGAGCGGGGGTTTACGTTAAGCTTCCACTCTTAAAGGCGAAGCTTAAGCGTCCTCCTGTAATTTTTTCTCTCAATAATCGTACGAGAGAAAGCAAAAAGGTGAACTAACCAAAAGAACCCATTGGCTCTTTTAATGTGAGAATGAAATGGGAATGGGAATCCGAAAGTGATGCTACATCAATTCATGGTGGATTTGAAAAATTCTATCCTTCCTTCTGATTATGTGACAAAGGACTGCTGGTTCTTACAGGTTCTTTTGTAGGTTTCCGCAGTTTCTCTTGTCACATTTTCTTTCTCCTTTCTGTTTGTTAGCTCGACTATTTACATAAATAGTTGGCTGTTCTTATTATTAGTGTCAGGCTGTGTTCTTGAACCCTTCCCTTCATTTGTTTTTGTATTTTTTGCCTGTGCATTTACGTGGTTTGTGTATTCTTTTCCTTTCCTGCTTCTATGTATAATCAAATGCCAATTGCCAGTCAATGTGTGCCCTGTTTTGTCATGGCTTTACTTTTTTAGTTTCTCTAGAAGCCTCGTTTTCTTTTCAACTTTGTTTACTTTCACACTCATTTGAGCTTCTGCTCGTAAATTGGGCGAGCAGTTTGAAAGGCGTACTTAGCCAAGGTGAGGGGGGTTTGGCGTACCTCCTCGCACACTGGCTCGCTTGAGGACCTGGCGTGTGTGAGAGGACGCCGCTTTCTCTGCAGGTCGAGGAAGGCACTGCTCCTCATTATGATGGTTCTGGGACTGGTCCTCTACCTGGGACCGTCCTTGTTCCGCTGGGTCCGGCACAAGACGCCCATCATGATAGGTAAAAGAAGAATGTCTGCCATGTTTCCTGCAGTCGCAGACCACAAGAGTCATTTGGCTCCTGCAGTGCCCACATTATCACCTATCAACAACAAAGGGAATGTGTCGGCATTTGCGACACAATCCATAACTTCGTCAAGTGCACCCAAATTCTTTAATGTCTTAAAAAAATATGAAAAATGTGCGGAGCTTTGTCCTGGTCCTGTATTTGCATATTTTGTCCATATGACCTTTGCGATGAGAAAGTAGTCTGGTGTTAAAAGGTAAGATGAGCCATAATAGCAGTGGCTTTATGATAAATACTATAAAAAGATATCAAACATAAGTTCTTACACCGAAACTAAGGACAATAGCCTAACGGAGGGGTTCTCAAGCGTTTTGGTCCCACGGAACCCCAGGAAGCCTTAAAAATTGCTGTGGAACCCTCCTCCTCCCCCTCCTTATTTGCCAACCGAGAAGCAACACAATCGTAGTCGTAGGCAATTTTGCTTGTGTTGCTTCTCATGTAACCCCAACCATATCAATCGCGATGTCAGTACGTATAAAATGAGATGAAGGCGCTTTGCACGGTCCTGCCGCGCAGCCCTCGCCATGGGGGAGAGGAGGGGGTGCGATTTGAGTGTTCACGGAACCGATGAGACCAGCTCGTGGAAACCGGATATTCCGCAGAACCCAGTTTGAGAACCCCTGGCTTACCGTAATATCCCCCCTGCCCCATGAAATTTCTAAGAAAAGTGGGCCATGTCTCGGTGGCTGCAGAAGAGGTACATTAAACTCGAAATTTAAAATAGTTTAACTGTTTTATACACCGCACAGCCTTACCATTTGTGGTCACGACGTTCAGGAAGAATGTTTGCCTATTTCTGGTAACCTTATTTCACTGTCAAAAGACTTTGACCTTGCACTCTGCAGTTACGTTCCAGGGTGTGGGGCGTGCACTGAACTCGTGATCCCTGAGTGGGTTTCTGCTTGTTTTATCTTTCCAATATTTTTTGTCCAAACAAACTTCTTTGTATTTGAAACAAAGTTTCATTCTGCTATCTCCATCGTTTCCCTTTCGCACGAATGTACTCCGACTTGGGGGTCGTGGAAATCGGGGAGGAAATGCGTAAACAAAGTGAAGTGTCTTTCCCTCTTTTGACACGGACGTCCGTCAATCGTAACGTCCATGGCCTCGTCATTCGGGTAGGACGGATGATTGCACAGTCAGCGTTGGGGTATTTGTAGGGCTAGGCAATCACTCGAGGTTTTTTTGAGAAATCGATATTCGCCCAAATAATGGGGTGGGCGATGACTCGGAGTATTACGGTAGTAATTTTTTTTTTATATTATTTATATTTTTTGTATTGAAAATAGGCCATACTGACTGAGGACAAAGGGAGCGGTGGGATTGTGTAGTTTTTTCCAAAGATCTGTTAAGGGTCCCTCCCAGAGACTTTGCTTGGGTGTCTGATGAGTCCAGAGTGTACACGCACGGTCAAAGCCCGGTGGAGGACAACCACTGCGTGCTGGAGGCCTCCCTTTCGGTGGGAACAGTGCGTGCAATGAGCATTGTCTGCTTTCCAGGTGGCACCAGGAGCCAATGATAGTGCGAGTTTTTTAACCTTTTTGTTTGTGCGTGTGTCGAGACCCCTAGCTACCGTATAATACATTTGTTGCTGTAGGATCTGTTGTAATTTATGTAACTTAGTCCCCCCGGTAATACCGCTGACCCCGAAGGTGACTAAAGAAATACGAACAAACAGACGCGCACGACCCTACAATGTTTAACATCGTGAAGCACAATACCTTGTTATCTGGCATTACCGTAGAATACCGTGCATCTGCCCATTTCCAAGTTGGTAAGATCTGAGAAAATACTCCATACATTTGGATGTATAATTGATGACCAGACAGGTGCCTATTCCCCATGTTTTCCCGATTTTTTTCTTAATTTTGAGCAGGCACTTGTTCGGTATTTTTGGTAGATCTCGTTCGTCCTCTGTACGAAAAAATTCGTGAACATTGCCTACAGCTTCGACTCGCGAAGGTCTCGGCAGTGCGTACATTATCGTACCTCTACCTTTTTTAGTTTGCCTGTTCGTAGCATTGGTCGTGATTAGGAAAAAGAGAACTTTAACAGTGGCACCGGCATTCGTCCGATCCCTGCCAATGATGATGTCCCTTGCAGATCCGAGCATCGGTTGCGTCGCTCTCAACGTTGACCCATTTCTTGGCGACGTCGGCAACTTCGATGCCAACCTGTACCGCAGTTACGAAAGCTCCACCGACAAGCGGCTCCTCTCCTTCGTGGGTAAGTTACAGTGCACCGAGTCGTGCGGCGCCACGTGCCACATCGAGATGCGGGCCACGCAGCGGCACTGTTGGGCCACGATACGTGTCGCATGACGCGCTTCAATATATAAAGGGAGAGAGGTGCGTTGTAGAGGGGGAGAGGGAACATGGTAGCTTGGAAAAGGGGGCACAGATACGCACAACTTTAAAGCGGTTTCGACGGGAACCCTGCACAGACCTCGTCGGTTGCGCCGTAGCAAGGCCGTCGGATCGAGTCTGCAGGGGAGATGAAATGAAAGAACTTGTTTTCCAGCGCGATGCCATATTTCTGGTGTCTCTCAGCGGATTTGACATGCCACAGTCTAGTTGTGGTGGTGCTAAGCAAATATCTAAGACAACTGGACGACCAGGATCCTCGCCCTTGGCAGCGGTACTTAGTGTGGCATGATGGCTGCCCATGCAGGCTTCATGTGGCTCTGTCCCTTCCTCTGTTTTGTAGTGTCCCTACGCCCGAGATCTTTCTTCCTGGCTGTGGCTTCGCAATATGAATCTATTGGGTGCCCGCAGAGGGACTGTCTACCTGACCACCAACAACTTCCCGCACAACTAAGAAGCCACTAGACCTAAAGGCCTCTCCCAGTCCGCTCGTCCCCATGTCACCTGGTTGCTGCTCATTGTTGGCGACGTCTCCCAAAATCCTGGTGTCCCCATTTTGTTGGGGACACCACTCTTTTCCCGATCCTTATTGTTGGGCGTAACCCAGTGCCTTCCACTGCCCCTTTGCAGTCCTCAACTCTGCCAGCCACCTCCGTCCCAAGTGTCCGAGGAAACAACAAATGCTGCCGTAACTTACATTTCTGGCCTGCAAATCTTCAATCAAAAATAGGCTCCTAGATTTTGCCGCCCCTACACCATTTTCTCGCCTTGCGAGACGTGGCTAGACTTGTCAACTAGTGATAGACAAATCGCAGGCGCGGCTCGGTTCCATATCTTCCGCGAGGATTGGCCCGTATCCCGGGTGGGGGGGGGAGTCATGGTTATGGTCCCCGCTTGCATCATCCCGTGTCGCCGGCGCAGTGACCTCCAACACTGCTCGTTTGAGGCCGTCTTTGTCGAGATCAGAAACAACCAGAACCATTTCTTGGTCTCGAGTGTCTACTTTCCTCCACCACGCGCTAGGCAGCCTAGGGTTGCTTGGGACAAACCTCTGACCTCATTTCCGATAACCGCGTGTCTTAAAAGGTCTATTCACACGATGCATCTTCCCGACACTAAGTTTTGGGAAACAGATTCCCTGTCTGAATGCAACCGAAAAAGTGGCGCGTGTTCCTCGCTGCTGGAGCAATTTTTCGCTGAAACCTCACCGAGGCCTGTCAATCACCCGAAGGAGAAACGTGGATGCTGCCAATGGCCGCTCGACGTCGCTATGACGTCTGACCTTTGAGGAGGAGCCAGCTCTTGGAGGAGTCGGATTTTTGACCATTCCATATTCAATTGAAGCCGAAAGAAAAAAAACAAAAAAAACATGGCGAGTAACAAGCGGAGGAGCGGTGCGTACGGGCAATGAGTCTTGGTCCTACTCGGTTGCAGGTGTGTGATCGGCACTTTAGCAGTACGGGTTGGTGTCGCGGTGCGGATTCATCAACAGTCCCGACGAGTGCAAGCACCGCATATAAACACGATGGCTGGGGATAACCTTCTTTTAGCGATGCAAAAATGTCCGAAATGCTTCGAGATCGTCCACCTGTTCTTTGACGTTTGCAGTCTTTCCCGGGTTCGGCAGGACTAGTAAACCCAGTGAGCCAAATCTGATGAAGTTCATTTAGTGGCATTAATAAAACAGACTGTCTCTTCACACTGTTCGTACTTCATATCATTTTGATGCGAAGCGCTTGATATTCCCGGTGCAGATGACGAGGTTTGGCGAAATTCTCGTGAGTCAATACGTCGCAGGTTTTCGCGCATCAAACTCCACATGTGAAGAGGCCGATTTCACGAAATCTTGGTTTCGATAAACTGTAGTTTGTTGAAAACATACATCGTGTGAATAAGCCTCAACGTCTACCTCGTGAGTGACTTCAACGCCCGCGTGAACTGGTGGCCTTGCGCAAGTGTGTCTCGAGCCCATATTCGCATTGCCTTCCGGCACAATGTCGCAGCTTGACCTCGTGTTTCTACTTAATACTTCTCTAGCTGTGGAGTGCAATGTTCTAGAGAACCTCCTAAAATGTGACCGCAAAACTGTGCTTTTGCAAACCTACACGTCCCTTCCGCTACCTGGGTCCTGTATATCAATATGGCAAAGTGGATAACTCGCACCTGAAAAATTGCTTACACTACCTCCCTTGGTACCGTATTTACTCGCAGAATGAACGCACTTTTTTTTCCCGAAAAATCGATGCAAAGTTAGGGGGTGCTTTCATTACGCGAAGTAAAATTTTTGCGTCCGTATTTACTCTCATAATGAACGGACCTTTTATCCTGAAAAATCAAAGCAACTTCTTATCGCTTTGCGCGCGACGCCCGACCCCGTAACCAAACTAAGCTGTGCAAAAAAAAAAACGAAAAAACTCCTCTTTGTTTTCTTTTTCTCCTAATCCCTTCGTTTTTTTTTTTTTTTTTTGTTTTTGTTGCCGCTTTTTGCAAGCTAATTTGTTTGCTTAGGCGAGGGCTCTCCGCTAATCTTTCTTATCTCCTTGCGCGCGGCGCACGACCCCCGTAACCAAACTGCGCTGAGCAAAAAAAAAAAAAAAAAAAAAAAAAAAGCTTCTCTTTTTTTTTAGTTCCTTGGGTTGTTCGTTTGTTGTTTTTTTCTTTCTGTCGCCTTTCGCAAGCTGCTTCGTTTGCTTAGAGGGCTTCTCCGCTCCTCTTTCTTACCTCCTTGCGCTTTCTTTTTGCGCCTGTAGGTCGTGCGGCTGCGGATGTGACGTATTTTCGTGACGTCGCGCCGCTTCTTCGCTCCTTCCGGGCGCGTACAAGAAAGTTGGATAATTTCAACTTCTCAACGCGCACAAAAACGCGCGGTGACGTAGTAAGGCGCTCCTGTGTCCCGGCCAATCGGTGGAGGGCAAGCTAGTTCCGGCTCCGCGTTTCTCGCCGTCTGGCTGCCCTCTCCTCCCCCCCTTTTATTCTCTTCCAACATGACAAAGCGATCTCTCTCTCTCTTTCTCTCGCCGTCTGGCCGGCCAGTCTGTCGCAGTTGCACTTTGCTTGTGCGCTCGTGCCTGCGTGCGCGCGTGCGCGCTCGCCCGAAGTTTTGCCCGTCCAAACCAAAGCGCACGGTTCTGACTCAGAAAGCGCGCCCGGAAACAGCAAAAACGCCACGAAATGCGTCGCATCCGCAGCCGCACGACCTACAGGCGCAAAAAGAAGCGTTGGTTTGGATCGCGCTTAACCAAACTAAGCTGCGCAAAAAAAAACGAAAAGCTTTTTTTTTTTTTTTTTTAGTTTCGTGTTTTTTTTTGTTGTTGTTTTTTTTTTGCCGCCTTTCGCAAGCTGTTTCGTTCGCTTAGAGCGCTTCTCCTTCTTACCTCCTTGCGCGCGGCGGCGCGCGAACCCAAAATCCAGAGTGCGCTGTGCAAAAAAAGAAAAAAAGCTGCTCCTCCATGTTTTTTTTCTTGCTTCTGTTGAATCTTTGCGAATTTTTTTAACGGCTTTTGCAAGGCGCTTTGTTCGCCCACGCTGCCCATGCATTCGCGACCTCGCTGCACCAGGATAGAAAAGTGCGTTCTTTTCGCGCGCGTGGGGGGAAAGTGTCAAAATTTTGAGATCCCAGTTGGGGGTGCGTTTATTACGCAAGTGAAAAAAAAAAAAAAAGTAATTTTTGAGAGCCGACTTGGGGGGTGCGTTCATTACGCGAATGCGTTCATTGTGCGAGTAAATACGGTATATGATCTTCACTGCAGCAACCATCGACGACATGTACGAGACCTGGGTAGATCTTATGTCTGCCGTCCAAGTCAAATGTGTACCGCAGGTCCGTGCTCACCAAAAGTTCAAAAGCCCATGGATTATGAAGGAGATCATTGAACTTTTGAGGCAAAGGATGTTTAAGAAGGCTAAGAAGAAAAACTGCCCGACCTGCCTCCCTGCGGCCAAACACCTCGAGAGGGGGGAAATAAAGAAACTACAGTAAAACCTCGTTATAACAAAGTTGAAGGAGCAATCGTAATTATTTCGTTATAACCATTAGTTTGTTATAGCCAATGTAAATTTCTTCCCTATTAGCATGCCAGGGGAATTATGATTGCTTTGTTATATCCATTAGTTTGTTATATCCCATTTTGTTATAACGAGGTTTTACTGTAGTTCATATTGCACACCAGAAATATGTTTTGGACATTGCAGCCCTGGTATCTAAGCGACCTAAGCACTTCTGGGCCTACGTCAAATGCCAGAGGAAATCATTGTTGAGCCCATCCTTTATTTGTGACATCGACCCACTGAGATAGCCTAACTTTCCAGCTCTCATTTTGTCAGTCTTGGCCAACCGCAATAAACGCCTCCCTACTTCATCAGCCTTAGTGGAAATGCTAGAAACAGCCCAAAGCAAAAACGCAGAAGACGACCCAGAAGATGCCCTCTCGAGGCTGCGCCCTTTCCAGGCTGTGCACTCTTCATTCCTGTGGCTCGCCAGTCCCATCCTCCACCCTGTATTACAGAAGATGTTCCAGAGGATCGTTGATGCTGGCTGTGTTCCCTCGTCATGGAAACGGGCCCTCAGCATTCCTGTCCACAAGGAAAGTGTATCACGTGCTGACCAAATAGCGTCCTACCGGCCTATCGCCATTACATCGACGGTTTGCTGGAGAGTGCCATATTAAGAGAAAGATCCCGTGTCATCTCGAAGAGTGTGCTGTTGAATGCCCAACATAGATTTTGTCCGGACGGAGCTGCACAACAACACTGGGTGCCATGGTATACACGGAAAGCGCGTCCCTCGACAACCGCACTCCTTGCGAGCTAGTATAGTGGGACTTTGCGAAAACATTTGACTGCATTAATCACCACCTCCTGTTCGAAGTATTGGGGCCTCCTGCTTTACGACCTATTCACCAGAAAGACACAAGGGCTGACTCTATTGCGCTTACTTATGACAGCGGTAAAACCTAGCGTTTCTTTTCGGTGGGAAACTGGGGGCGGCCACGCGGGACCGCTCTCTACCGACGAGGTTGGCCGCCGCGTTTTCAGCTGTTCACTCGCTCCCGCAGCGAGCGCCTCCGCGCCTTCCCATAATCCCCCCCTTTCCGAAATGCAATGTGACTTCCGTTTAGATGGGTTAAATGAATACGCATTCGCCGAGCGCTAGGGAAACGTCATAATGCGCTTCCTTAGCGAATTATGCCGTTTACATGACCACATTGGATGCGACTACTGTATTTGATACAGCTAAGTCTAGTGATGCCCTTAGAGAAGAGGTGCGTGGATGTAGAAGAGATGTGCTTTATACATCCACACATGAGATTGCATATTACTCGGATAGCGAGTGCCGCTCGTTTAAAACCTTACGAGGTGCGCACCTTGGTTGCATTTGACGGGACGTCTCGGCCAGGCAGTTTTTGTGGATCCATTTGGTTGACTCTGCGTTTTCTTTTTCATGCAGGCAACGGAAAGGTTGGCTTTTCGGTGGACAATGACAACACGCTCTATGTGCACAACAACCGGACGTTGTCACTGGCACTGCCGTTCCATCCCGGAGTGGAAATTATTTATCCGGATGCATCGCATCAAGGTGAGGGCAAGGCGCTCCATCGTGCGAGCAACCCTGCTGGTCCAAGCGGGACCTTTTCCAAGTGTTGATCCGAGATGATCCTTTTTTCCCTCGCAATTAACCGCATTTAGGAATTGTCGGTCTCGGCTTGCATGCAGTTTTGGTAGTACGTCCGCATTCGGGCTCTGTCTTGCGGCTGAGTTTGCCATTTCGTGCTCTCTTTCGAGCTTGGAAAATTAAACTGGCACGTTTTTGTTTCAGAGGGCACTGTGGTTCACTTTGTGAAGGGAACCGTGTTCAGGTACCAGTGCTTTAACAAGGTGAGAACCATGAATGAGTCACTGATCCCGCGGTCGTTCAAATATTGTTTCAACGGTAAAGGGTCTCGTTTAGACCGTAAAGCAATACAATCCAACCCAGTTATATCGCACTCAGGTATTCAGAATTATTGTCTATATCAAACAGTTCAAACATCCCCTTGAAAATCAGGTGTAAAAGTATAGAAGTGTTGTCTTCCTGTATCCAACTCCCATGGCGGGGACACTCGATATAGCGAGTGAATCCCGGCCACCCGTTGCTTTTCCCGCTGTCGGATTGTGCCGGTGGTGAACACATCACTTGCATTGCGTGGCTGGGAGACCGCCAAGCCAGCATGCACGCGGGAAGATACACAGCAGAAGAGCACTTGTGGAAAAAGAGAGACAATGAACTGTAAAAATAAAAAGTGAAGGTTGGCAGATGCAAGGTTAAGGGAGTGCCTGCTGTTGGAACGCCCTTTCCCCGAACACTGCTGATGCTGCGCGGCTCCCTAGCCCCAAAATAAAATAAGAAAAAAATAAGTCTTTGGGAAGTCTAGTGTGTCGACAACAACGGTTGTGCAATCGCTCTTTGAACGCCTTATCTTCATTTACTTTTCTCTTTTGCCGTTTTTTTTCTTTGCCCGTTTTTTTACAACAAAGCTGTTCGGCTAGGGTTCAGTGGATTTTTCGTGTGTGTAACCAAAAACTCTACGCTCGCACTGCCGCACACGCCGCACTGCACCCACGCGCCGCACGTGCCAGCTTTGGAACAGCGATAACTGTTCCAAAGCAAAAGTCTAAAACAAATGGCATTTTGCATGTGCGTTTGTCGGCGCTTTATTTTGGTTATTTACTTTCAATCTTTTATACTAGGAGGGCGTGCGGCGCGTGGAACACCATTCCCCGCATTCTCCATAAAAGTGGCGGCCGACATGTGTATGTGCGGACTTTTTGTCACGATGACCACCGATCAAGAGAATAAATGTGTTTGGACCTTTGTTAAGAAAAGAAACTGGAAGTACTCTAACCAATTGGTTTAAATTTCCCGACGTTTCGCGGCCTACTCGGTCGCTTGCTCACGGGTCGCTTTGTTCAAAATTCTGTGTCACGTCTGTGTCGTGTGCTAAACAGCTTCGCTGGTCATCGACCTTCACAAAATGAAATGGCTCCCAATCTTTTTTTTTTTTTTTGCTTTTTTTTTTAATTTAGTGAATTTTTTATTTTATTTTTTATTTTTTTGTTGCTTGCTTAATTTTTTTTATGCATCAAGATATTGTATTATGCGTCTCGCTTTCTTGTTTTTTTTCATTCTTTTTTTTTTATTTTTGTGCTTTGTTGTTAATGCTGTGTGGAGGTCCAGGCCAGCTGCACGTCTAAGCGTGGCGGTGCAGTCTCCGCCAACGAAGCTCTACTGTATTAATGCGAAAGCATGAACTGTCCCATGGAGCGAACCGACGTCCTGCGGATTCCTGCACTTTTGTCCGCAATCTGCGCACGCGATATCAGTTTCCTTGACTAAGTATGCAGTACGTTCTCGCATGTTTATCGCGCCGTAAAGCGTGAATCTGCCGAGTCCGTGTTCTGCGGTATCCGTTCGTGTGACGGAAGATTTCGTAGCGAATTCTCACGTGTTTCTCCGACTGTGGAGCGCAAATTCGCCGTGTCTGTCATGATCTCTGGTATCAGTTCTTGTTTCACGTGGTTTGTAGCGGGTGTTCCGATACTTATCACTAATTTTTGGTAAAAATTTGCTGCCGCACCCTTAAAGATGCTTGCCCTATATTTTTTGCCATTTCTCTTTATTTTGGGTGGGCGTCCTTACGATTTTACGGTAGTTTCGGTTTGGTCTTTTTGCTTGAGAAAGAAACAGTGCGGTTTTGAAGTAAAAAATGTATCGGGTAGTATCCTGACAGAATCAATTGCCCCGCATAGAAAGAAAGAAATATTTTTTGTTTTTGGCGTGTTAGTTGCTCGTCAAGGGCCAAAGCTACTTCTAGAGCTTTTCTTTTATATAACTTGGAATTCAATTACAATGAAATTTACATAGCTTATCTGCCATTACAATTTGGCTACAAATATGTAATTGGTTTTTATGTAACCTAATTAGTTTTGATAATACTGAAAATTTTATTTGCAAATATGGGAAATATAATCATATTGAAATACTGAAATCAGAAAATAAACATATATCAGTAAACTACTAAAAGGTTTGGAATCCCATAAGGCACAGCTGAAAGCTCTAGGATGATTTATAGGCTTTTAAGGACACTTGAGTTTTCCGATTTGAAAATGATTTATTTCAGGATGCCTAAAAGGCACCTAAAAAAAGCCTGATACAACATTTAATATATTTACGTGCCTTATGGCATATGTCACACATACACCTAGCAGAGAAAGAAAAAATGATGAAGATTCAATGTATGCAAGTGGAGGTATGGCTTCCACAAAATAACAAAGTGTGTAAATAGTTCAGTGGGAAATAATAGCGAAGAAACATGCACAGACCCATTTACTTTGTTCCTGTAGAGACCGGGACCAGACAGAGTCAGCTGGGCCGGATGGGCAAAGACCCACGGCAGTCTTTATTCACGGAATATATACAAACGTAACAGTGAGGCAGCGCCCTCTATGATAGTATGTTAGAATTAGTGTTAGTCGTGTTAAGAGCGACACCTGACGGTAACAAACAACACTACATCCCCCCTTCCAGAAGGATGCCCTTCTCTTAGCTAGACCAAAAACAATCACAAGTCCAGTCTCACAGGCGGAATAACCCGTCGCCCTGATCTTGTGTAGCGATGCTCGTGCTGCCTGAAGTCCCCTGATGTCGAACTTCCGTTCACCCATGGGTTTGCACTCGTCGCTGCCGATCGTCGCTGTTGCGGCTCAGCCGACGTCTCTGAAGGCGGGGCTGGAAGACCAGCCAAAGCCTCCTCGGGAATCGGAGGATCAGCAACCGGCTCCCCAGGAACTGGAGCCCCAGGAGCGTGAGCACCGTAAGGCACCAGGTGTCGCCGGTTTCGCTGCAGCATGCCCCGTTGAGTTTCCACGACATAGGAACGTGGACGCTGCGCACCGTTGAGCACCCGAGCAGAGCACTGAGCATCGGTTACCCAGACCTCCTCTCCAGGCGAGAGGTCTCGAAGCACCTGCACACCATGGCGACGGTTGAAGTCCACTGCCTGCTGCCGCCTCGCCGCACTGTCCCTCTCTCGGAAGGCACCCAGGGCCGGCACCTCAGGACGCAGCTTCTCCTTGGCCCTCGGCATCCGAGAACGCAGACGCCGCCCCATCAGCAGTTGCGCCGGGCTGAAACCTGAAACGCCTGGGGTGTCCCGGTATGACAACAGTGCCAAAAAGACATCGTCGCTCTTGCGGAAAAGGTCCTTAACGGTTCTCACAGCGCGCTCCACCTCCCCATTCGATTGGGGGTAGCCGGGGCTACTAGTGATATGCTGAAAACCATAGTCTCTTGCGAAACTTGCGAAGTCATGTGAAGAAAACTGTGGCCCGTTGTCGCTTCTTAGTACTTCCGGTATACCGAACCGAGCCATGGAACTCTTGACCGCTGCAATCACAGCCTGGCTTGATGTACTTCTTAATGTTACCACTTCTGGGTAACGAGAGTGGTAGTCCACAAGTAAAAGAAAATCCTGCCCGTCCAGATGAAACAAATCCGCTCCCACCTGTTTCCATGGCAGGTCCACCGGAGGCGTTGGCAGCAGGGGTTCCGCTCGTTGTGTCCGGGTAGATGCACAGCGGTCGCACGTTTGCACCATGGCCTCGATCTGCTGTCCAACATGTGGCCACCAAACCGAGTCTCGGGCCCGCGCCTTACACCTGTTCACCCCCTGGTGTCCTTCATGTATCAACTGTAAAACTTCGGGTTGCAGAGCTGCTGGGATCACTAGACGGCCACCCTTGAGAAGCAGACCCTCGCAGACGCTCAGCTCCCCACGGAAATTCCAGTACTTCATGACATGGCTGGGAAGCTTGTTCCTTTGAGGCCAGCCGTGGTTGCAGAACTTCTCCAGCGTTACGCACTCGCCGTCTGATGCTTGATGCCGACGGACATCTTCGGGGCTGACTGGAGAACCTTCCTGGATGGAATGGATGACGTTCTGCACGTAAAGCTCCACGGAGCTCGCTTCTACGGCTGATGTCAATGGGGCCCTGGACAGAGTGTCGGCCGTAGCCAACAGCTTTCCGGGAACATAAAAGATCCTGTACTGGTACCTCATGAGCTTGATCCTCAGGCGCTGGATCCTTGGAGGCAAAACGTCCACGTCCATTTCTCCCAGTAGGGCTGTCAAAGGCTGGTGGTCTGTCTCCACGGTGAATCGCAGACCTCTGACGTACTCGTCGAAGCGTTGTACGGCCCAAACAACCGCCAGGGCCTCTTTTTCGGTTTGACTATACCTCTGCTCGGTTGGCGTGAGTGCACGGGATGCGAAAGCCACGGCTCGGCGTTCACCCGTTGGCTGGTCCTGCATCAAAACTGCCCCAAGTCCAAACGAGCTGGAATCCGCAGATATGATGGTTGGGTGTTCTGGGTGGTAGTTGGCCATGCAGACGTCTGAAGAAATCATGTCTTTCAGTCTCTGGAATGCCGCTTGCTGGCTTGGACCCCAGAGCCAAACACTCCGCTTGTTCAGTAGCTCGCGGATTGGTGCTGTAACGTCGGAGAGATGTGGCAGAAACCTCCCCACATGGTTGACCATGCCCAAGATCCGGCGCACGCCCCCGACGTCGACCGGCGGTTCCATACGCTGCACGGCTGCCACCTTCTGCGGATCTGGTGCAATTCCGTTTCCGCTCACGATCACGCCAAGGAAACCGACGCTTGTGACGCCAAACTTGCATTTGGCCTTGTTCAAAGTCAGCCCTGCCCTCGCCAGACGATCCAAGACTTCCGCCAGTCGGCGATCGTGTTCCGCGCTATCCCGGCCGAAGACGAGGACATCGTCTATCATGTTGACGACGCCATCTTGACCCTCGAGGATGTAACTCATTTGGCGCTGGAAAAACTCTGGCGCCGACGTAATCCCGAAGGGCAACCGGCGGAAACAGTAACGCCCGAACGGGGTTATAAACGTCGTGAGTTCCTGGCAGTCTTCGGCCAACTTCACTTGATGGAAACTGGATGTAGCGTCCAGCTTCGAAAAAACTCGAGCTTCACCAAGAAGTCCCAAGACCTGGTCTACCGTCGGAAGGATATGGCGCTCTCGAAGCACCACCTTGTTCAGCCTCGTGAGGTCGACGCAGATGCGGTAGGCGCCGGACGGCTTGGGCACGACGACCATTCCCGCGCACCACGGCGTAGGATTCGACACCCGCCGGATGACGCCCTGGGCTTCCATTTTGTCCAACTCCGTCTTCACAACGTCGCGCAAGGGGATAGGAACTCTTCTTGGAACGTGAAGCGAGAAAGGAATGGCATCGGGCTGAAGGCGGATGATGTACTCTTCTTTGAGCTCACCCAACCCTTGGAACAACCCCGTCGGCGAAGTATCGTTCCTTCCTTGCTGGACGGCTGCCACCGGCTCGACGAACTTGACCACGCCGAGCGCCTGGATACCCGGAAATCCCAGGAGCGGAACAACCTGGGACCGGACCACATAAAGCTTCTGCCTGCTCGTCTTGTTCTTCCATTCAAGCGTGGTGACGAACGCCCCGAGAACATCCAAAGGCTGGCCCGCTGGACCGGTCAGCTGTCCCTCCGGCGGCTCGAGCCGCGCCGGAATCCCAGAAAATGTGCTGGGGATGACCGTGACTTCGGCCCCGCTGTCGACCTTGAAACTTAGTGGCATCCCGTCAACTTTCACCTCGACGAACTTCGCCCGAGTGCTGCCGTCCGAACTGACGGCACCCAGCTCAACCGACGCGAGCCTCTTGCTGTGCCTCTCGAGCTTTGTTCCGGAGCGACATACCGCTGCGAAGTGGCCCTTCTTGTGGCATTTGCTGCAGAGTGCTCGGCTTGCAGGACACTCGGAACGCGGATGAAAGTCTCGTCCGCAGAACCCGCACGGCGAAGAACCCGCATTCCCTACGGCAACGTTGCGCGCTGTTTTTGGTGGGCGGTTCCCCGTGACTCTCGCCGCGTCGATGCTTATCGCCTTCGCTTCGGCAGATGCCGCCGAGGCTCCGGTAGAATCGCGAATCCTCCGCTCCCTCTCGGCATCTTCAGCCTGACGTACTTGAATCAGGGCTTCTTCGAGTGTCAGTCTCGGATTGCGACAAAGCCTGTCTGACAACTTGACATCTCGAAGACCGACCACGAAGCGGTCCCGTATCAAACGCTCCTCCACTTCCCGCGAAGGATAGTTGCATTTTTTTTACAAAGTTTCCCAAAACCGTGAAAAAAGAGTCGGCCGACTCACCGGCTTGTTGGACGCGGCGATGAAAGCGTGCACTCTCGTACAGTTCGTTGGCGGGATGGATAAAATAGCCGTCGAACTTTTCGGCGATGTGGTTGAATTCGCTGAAGTCCGCCTCTTCCACTTGCAGCGAGCTCAGGATGTCGCGTGCCTTGGGTCCCATGCAGTAAAGCAGTGTCCGCACACGAACTTCGTCACTGGCGGCGTAGAGGCCTGATGCGTAGCAGTAGTCTTCAAATTGCTGCCGCCACTGTCGCCATGCTCCGGGGTTACCGAAGTCAAACTGCGGCGGGGGGCGTAGGCTTGGCACGCCCACTGTTACGGGTCCCGCCCCGGACCCCGCCGGCTTGCCTGTAGCCATGGTCTCCGAACTTCGCCGCGGCCGCTGCCGTAGGAGGCAGCCTAGCGAACCACTCCTGACACCATGTAGAGACCGGGACCAGACAGAGTCAGCTGGGCCGGATGGGCAAAGACCCACGGCAGTCTTTATTCACGGAATATATACAAACGTAACAGTGAGGCAGCGCCCTCTATGATAGTATGTTAGAATTAGTGTTAGTCGTGTTAAGAGCGACACCTGACAGTAACAAACAACACTACAGTTCCCAAGACAATAATTGAAGATATTTATTTCGCGACTATCCTTCGGGACAAAATGATCAGTGCCTGCCAATCTTCAGAAACATGTTTTTTTAGTGTATTTTTGCCTCGAAGAGCAGTGTCTCCCCGTCATGTGCTCCTAGGAGGTATTGCAGCATCCTCAAATATGATCCTGGTGAAGGAAGGTAACCAGTTGTGAAGTAACAGTTGAAGGGGCTGCTTATCCCGGATATATTTAAGGAGTCGTACGGAATACCTCGTAGGGGCGAAAACTCGATAAGCGTGCTGCCCATTTGATAGATTGATGGGTCGTTAGAGTTGACCATGTTTTTGCAGAGGAGAAAGACGATCAGCGTGAGCCACACCTACTACGCCCACCGAACCATTCCGTCCCTGCTCGTCCAGAACATCAAGATCGTCAACCCCTTGGTGAGCACTTGGCACTTCGACAACACTCAGTCGCATCGAGTAAAGGGTCGAGGCTCAGCTGGTAGGATACATGTACTACCAGTTACACTGTGGGGGGGGTTATTGTAATAGACCGATTTCACCAGGAGTTGTGCAACTATGCCGCACTGCATTCTGGTACCTGTAGTTCTCCCCAGCTTTCCGGCTGCGTCGATACGTATTGTAACCCTGTGTTTGGAAATTTTTGGGTTAGCAAGGGACATTTAATCTAGGGGTGTGCAAATACTCGAATATACAAATTTGAATCGAATACCAAGTTCCCGAATCACTCGATTCGCGAATTGAATTCCTAGTATTCGGTCACTCGAATATTCAGTATATTCGGCCAAAGACGCGCGGTCGACGCAGGACGGACAAAAGAGTTTTTTTTTTCTCCCGATGTTAGCACCGTAATGTTAGATAGATCATGCGAGAAACACCTTTTGGTCCTACCACTTCATAAAAATCGAACGCACAGGTTAGAAAAAAGAAAAGTAATGAACGCCACAAACTTTATAGCACGCGGATTTAATCACAATCGTGACATAATCTAACCTCGAATCACAACCGTAACATCCCGTTTACGCCACTTGCAGAGAGGAATTGTTGGGAGGCCGGAATCGCACGCCATGCCCAATTCTTTTCACGAGTAAAGCCCCTCGTTTCAAATTGAAGCGCCGATGTAGAACACACTTGCCACACTCAAAGAAATCGGCAACTGCACGATCACAAAAAGAAAACCACGTTAACCACGCCGGTGAAACCAGCCGAGTTGTCGTCGTCATTCTTTTGGAACTGCAAGCCGCAAGTTCAGATTTGGAATGATTTAAATGAAATGGAATGGAAAAATAGTGCGTAGATTTGAGGGTGTTTCCAACCGTTCGATAGCCGTGTTTGAAATATGAACTGCGAGAAGGTGACGAAAAGATGAAAGCGTCGATCGGGCAGTATTTAAGGGGGGACACTACCCAGAAAAAACAATTTCTGCAAAAAAAAGTTGATTTTGAAAAATGTCATATTTACATCCACCAACATCTAGAGAGTATTCCCAGAAATTTTCATTAGTTTACACTGCGTAGTTAATTTTTTATAAATTATTTTCGGTCCTCCGATGCTAAGAAAAGGTAGAGGTTGGAGCACTTTGAACGCATTTTTCTCCATTCCACTTTTTGGCATAAATTTCACTTTAGGAAAACTATGTTTTTGTTATTACGCAATGTGGATTCATTTTTATGAGTTTTTCTGGGGTGAAATTTTAAGGGGAAGATAACTATGAGCTTGTATTTTTTATTTTTGTCATTTTTCATGCTCAAGAACTAAAAGTTTGGACAAAGGATGGAAATCTAAAAAACTGTACTTGTGTTTACGTGCCTTTTTTGTCATGAAAGATGGTATAACATAGAAATATAGCTCCATAGTTATCTACTTTGAACTGTCCTAATGCAATGTAACACATGAAAAGAACAAATTTATAAGTAATTTCAAAACGATAGTTTTCCTAAGCAGACACGCCCACTTTCGTCTTTGAACGTTGGCAATTTTTTTTGTACTTCACCCAAGTTAACAAAAATTGGCAGAAATGTTCTCAACATCAACAGAAACAAGCAGTGTAAATATAATTTAAATCCGACAAGTCGTTAAAAAATTTACTGTTTTGGGTAGTGTCCCCCCTTAAAGCAAGCGTCGTCGCTTTTCCGCTTGCTCGCTTTCTTTCCACGTGACAACATAACACATGCACACTTACGACCAATGTGCGCAAGAGCCGTCTCCGTGGTTTCAGTTTTGCTTGCTTTCTCTCTTAAATCTGTGCTCTCTTAAAACAGGATAGATGGACGGAGGAATGGATGCATAGCGGCTATTGGACGGTGACTTGCGCCACCTGACCACACGTTTTGTTTTCTTATTTAGATTATATTGTTTAAGCCTGTTTACTCAGATTTAACACCTATCTGTTTATTAATGTGAAATAAAATCTCGGGTGCCCTTTTTCTTCCTTAAAATTAAAAGCAAACATTGCAAAATCCCCCTTTTCTGAGATATACAGATATAAAAAAGGACATGTTGCGGTGTTAGGTCGTGCTTTTAATGAGAAAAAAAAAAGGCACATGTGGCTGTAACTTTGGGTCTTTTGTGATGCTTAGGGTAGATAAATTAAGTTTGCACCATAAAATTGGATCTTCACTGCCCACGTCCATCACCAGCTGCTTTTTTTTTATTTTCCCCTTTTTTTTTTGCAGCAGAATTTTTATATATTTTTAGCTTTTGTTTTGTACGAGATGCATATTCTGCACCAAGTGCATACTCTGCACATAAAATAATCTCCTGCGCAGCACACTTTAAAAAATTCCTACAAATAAAATCACTATTCAGTATTCAATTCAATATTCTGCTTTTTTTTTAATTCAATTCGGCATTCGATTTGAAAACTACTATTTGGTTGTCGATGTTTAGCGCACTCGAAAAACTGTCACTCAAGCATTCACACACCCAAAGAACACTCCTCACACGCAGCACTCACTAATCACTTTGTATTGCGTGTTTTACTTCGGCTTCTACTTCTTCAGATTTTAGACGATTTGCAAATAGAAAAAGACGACATACGAGTTAAAAATTCCTGTCTAACGCTTAGGCTAATTTGCGGCTAAATAATTAATCTCTTTTCGTGATAAGGTTATCGACGGCGTACTAACACATTTGTCCTCTAGTCGTATGATGTTCTCAGCTTCTATGATTTCCCTCGTTAATTGGTTTACACTTATGCCCAACACGGTGCTGTTGTTGAAATGTGCGACACACCCACAATCCCGACAGTGTATCCCCCTTAGTGGCCGGAGTTAGCGTTTACAATGTTGTTGGAGTGTTCTCGAAGGCGGTCATTCAAACATCGCCCAGTTTGTCCAACGTATTGTCTTCCACATGAAAGGGGGAATGAATAGACAACCCCCTCAACGCAAGGCACAAAGTTGGTCCTATGCTTCTTGGAGCAGCAGATTGCGGGATTTGAGGGTGTGGTGACGTTTTTGCAAAGGCTGGACAGTTTGGTGGATGCTGAAAACACGATATCAACATTGCCCCTGTTTGCTGTTTTCTTGAGGCCAAACTGTCCAGCCTTTGCAAAAACGTCACCACACCCTCAAATCCCGCAATCTGCTGCTCCAAGAAGCATAGGACCAACTTTGTGCCTTGCGTTGAGGGGGTTGTCTATTCATTCCCCCTTTCCTGTGGAAGACAATACGTTGGACAAACTGGGCGATGTCTAAATGACCGCCTTCGAGAACACTCCAACAACATTGTAAACGCCAACTCTGGCCACTTGGGGATACACTGTCGGGATTGTGGGTGTGTCGCACATTTCAACAACAGCACCGTGTTGGGCATAAGTGTAAACCAATTAACGAGGGAAATCATAGAAGCCGAGAACATCATACGACTAGAGGACAAATGTGTTAGCGCGCCGTCGATAACCTTATCACGAAAAGAGATTAATTATTTAGCCGCAAATTAGCCTAAGCGTTAGACAGGAATTTTTTACTCTTATGTCGTCTTTTTCTATTTGCAAATCGTCTAAAATCTGAAGAAGTAGAAGCCGAAGTAAAACACGCAATACAAAGTGATTAGTGAGTGCTGTGTGTGAGGAGTGTTCTTTGGGTGTGTGAATGTTTGAGTGACAGTTTTTCGAGTGCGCTAAATGTTGACAAACGTGAACAACCAACTCGCTCAATCTCAAGTTCTTACTATTTGGTATTCGCACACCTCTAATTTAATCGGGTGTTTACTCACGGTTGTGAATCGGTGGCTTCAACTTCTCTGTGCGAGGGTGCTACAATAACAGCACCAGGCAAAAAGGCATGGGATTTTGTTTTCCCGAAGGAAAGCAGCCTCCTTGAAGGGGAACTCCGGCGATATTTTGAGCAACCCCAACTTAACCATATATTCGAAATCGCCGTCTGTTACTCTTTTCGGTATGCTATTTAGTATCGCGAAATTCAGAATAGTTATTGTGAAATCTGCAAGTGAAAACGACGCCAAAACGAAGATTTGAATATACCCGCGCTTTTCATTGCCCTGACGTCACGGTTGGGCTGGATTGCGGTTCGAGCGGGCAGTCTAAATATGAACTATGCCGAGCATTTGTATCGTGCTGCTGCGCGGGAGCTGGAGCGACCTTCCAAAGCATTCATTTGACACCATGAAACTGTTTGTAATCAGATGTGAACAAAGTCTACAGCCCAAAGAGTGAACTCCTACCCAACCGTGACGTCACTTTTTTCAACGTTGCCCGTAGAGCTTTTCACTTTGAAAAACACGATGAGGTCCAAAATTGTAAATTCTGTAACTGCACGAAAAAAAGTTATTTTGTCCAAATATTTGGGTTACTAGTTCAGCTATGTTTGTTGGTGTGTCTAGCAAGCTTTTAGGCAAATTGGGGACTATGAAGAAAACGGCAGAGTACCCCTTTAAAGAGTAATAAAAGAAAGGTAAATAGAGCTGCTACATAATTTGTATCCACCCGATCGCACGTTAGCCAAAGAGTAAGATTACGGGGCATTGTAGGGCGTGCCAAGGTGTTCTGCACATTGGAATCTCCCCGAGCACTCTTCGTAACGGTTTATCTCAATCGAAACCTCCGCACTGCTTTGCAGCGGCCGTTTTTAACACACTTTTTCCTCAATGTATATTGGTGGTTATAACTGTTATTGCAACATGTTTCAAGCTCAACTGTGCTTTAAAAGATTGGGACAATCGCTAAAAAAAGAGCAGCTCCAGGTATGCACCACTGGAAACAACTTTTTTGAAAGCAGTCTTTATTTTTTCAAACAGAACAAAAATGTAATTTAAAAGTGCAACGCTTACCGCCAAAACGACAGCAAGAGAGGCTCACCCACCTTGTGGTGGTCTATAATGCCGCATCTCAATTTTGTCTGGCGTTACTGATCCTTTCTGCATTAACACCAATTGAGACCGCAGGAAAGGGCCGTCGT